TGGTCCAGTCGAGACGCCATTCGTCCACACGCGTTCTCACGTCCGAAGTTGTGGTCCAGTCGAGACACCAGTCGTCCACACGCGTTTGTGTCCCGCAGCACTGGACCCCAGTCTGTGCTTTTGCAAAATATCGGCATACTCGTCATGCAGAGCTGAAGTTTTAAATAGAATACTCGACTGTTCCATCGATTTTCAGCATTCCGTTTGGCATTCGGATGCGAGAACATTGGTGGCCGAGGATCGATGTTTATCTTCATTGGTTAAAGAAATTCCACCAAACTTTGTAAGGATGTTTTGTGAGCGTGTTTCCTTCCCAACGTTTTCATGAACACTCTTGGTCATTTGCGATACACCAGACAAATGAGCAGTAATATTGCGTGTGAAGCATGCCCTCGGTACCAAACACGCCAGCTGTCTGTCCAACACCCGCCAGCTCAGCGAGCAGTAGCCGCAGCGCCGAGAGCCTTCGCCCGCGCGGCGGAACGCCCTCCGTCGCTCGCCATCTGGATGTCTGAACAGCGACGGCCGGCGGCAGCGCGCCGGCAAAAAGCGCGCGCTCGTCGCAGCAGACGCAGAGACGCGACAGCGGCGCGCGCGGCGGCCATCTGTGCCCGCGTCGCGCGTCTCGCTCCGTCCCGCCGGCCGTCCGTCGCCGCGGCTCAGGCGGGATTACCGGCCAAAGGGTGAGAGAAGGCGTGAAATGCGAGGCGAACAAATCTCCGCGAGTGCCGGCTCGGAGCGCGCGGCCGGCGCGGACGACGATTGTATCGGCCGGCGCGACGGGCGGCCGTGTCGCGCGACGAGGGGCGGCGGGATCTGACGGCGGGCAGCGGCGGCGGCATCTGACGGTGGGTAGGGGCGGAGGCATCTGACGGCGAGTAGGGCGGCGGCATCTGACGGCGAGTGGGGGCGGTTGCATCTGACGGTGGGTGGGGGGCTGCATCTGACGGCGAGTGGGGGGCGGCATCTGACGGCGAGTAGGGGGCGGCGGCATCTGACGGTGGGTAGGCGGGCATCTGACGGCGAGTAGGGGCGGGATCTGACGGCGAGTGGGGGCGGCTGCATCTGACGGCGAGTGGGGGCGGCTGCATCTGACGGCGGGGGGCGGCGGCATCTGACGGTGGTAGGGGCGGAGGCATCTGACGGCGAGTGGGGGCGGTGCATCTGACGGTGGGTAGGGGCTGCATCTGACGGCGGGTAGGGGCGGCTGCATCTACGGCGGGTAGGGGCGGCGGCATCTGACGGCGGGTAGGGACGGCGGGATCTGACGGCGAGTGGGGGCGGTTGCATCTGAAGGTAGGTAGGGGCGGCTGCATCTGACGGCGGTGGGGCGGCTGCATCTGACGGCGAGTGGGGGCGGCTGCATCTGACGGCGGGTAGGGGCGGCGGCATCTGACGGCGAGTGGGGGCGGCGGCATCTGACGGCGAGTGGGGGCGGCTGCATCTGACGGCGGGTAGGGGCGGCTGCATCTGACGGCAGGTAGGGGCGGCGGCATCTGACGGTGGGTAGTAGCGGTGGAGATACCCAGAACTCAAGACACAAGACTCAACGAGGTATATCCCGGTTCCGGAATCGTTTCTGCTCACCCTGTGACAACGGCCAGGGGAAATCGCGTCCTGTGAGCTGCACATAATTTCATGTCATGCGTGTATTTGACAACAAGATAGCTACATGCCAGTGTTCCAATTGGTGCGCATTGAGCTGTCAGGCTGGTATAATATCATGTGACTTACATTTCTCCCCCAGTCGACCCACCCATGACTTGGTTGAGTGAACCCTGATCACAGCTCACGAGAAAAGGTCGGAGAGATCGATTCCACCCAATGAAAGTCGGATCGAATCCGGAGACGATGTGGGCTCGGAGAGGAGTCATGTACAGTCCGACTGGATCTGACGGCACCCGAGAGGAATCTGGCGGTGTTTCAGGGGGGGCTTGATGCTATCACAGGGATCTGATGGGATCTCTGCGGTATCACGGGGGATCTGATTGGATCTCTGCGGCCGAATCAGGCGACGTCCCGGCAGCTGCGAGGTCTGACGGAATATCAGTGGACTCGTGATCTGATGAGATCTCGAGGTGCAAAAACCTGGCAGCACCTCCGGTGTGCCGGGAGATGACCATATCTCAACGGATGTCGAAATCTGACAGGGTTGGTGGGATCTGAATGCCTATGAGAAACGACGGGAGTTGGCATTCCGCTATGAAATATGAGAACTGCGGAGCTTTGAGTAATGTCATGGCCCGAGGATTCATTCGTCAGGGGTGCGGAACGTAGGTCTGCCAGCGACTGCAGGGTCAATTACAGGATATCGTGCTTGCCGGGTGTTATTCTCGCGGCCTGCGCGGTGCACTTAAG